TTAGATAAAACTGTACGCGCCCTTGAAGACAAAGTGTGAGGCTCTTACAATCTTGGAAGGGATAGAAAAAATTGAATCTTATTACATGTTCTTACAGGATTACTTCCACTGAAATTAGGTTAAGAGTTATAAAAAATGAATATATGTACAGTGAAATCTCCTTTAGACAGATACCAACAGGACTGACTGAAAGTGTCTGTGCAACAGGGGTGTCAGTATAAAAGAAATACAAAAAAATTATGTTTTTCATGAAAAGTTATAAATGTTTTTAAAATAAACAAAACAAAAGTATGTACATACACTACCGCTCAAATATTTTGGGACAACTTTTTACAAGAGTACTTAAAATAAATAAGGCATTGCAGTCATAATTCGGTCGAATTCCTGCTGCTGTTTACTTTTTTTTTTCAAGAGTACTTAAAATAAATAAGGCATATATGACATTGATTGATTATTACCATCTATAATACAACTATTCAAGCTAAAGATGTATAAGAATCAGTGAAACACCACTTAAAAGGGAATAAATGTAAACTCCTTTAGAGACGCCCATAGTTTTATTAGTTCATTGCAGTCATAAATCGGTCGAATTCCTGCTGCTGTTTACTTTTTTCGTACTATGTATTATGTTTGGCTTAATATAATACATAAACATTCTGGGTATTGATGAAACAAAGTGAAAATTGTAAGTAGTTTAGTATAAACTACTAGTCGATGTGCTAGGCTCCGATTTTTTCAAAATAACCAAAAATGGTAAAGACGTCTCTCTTGAAAAACGGGGTGCAGTGTGTGCCTTATGTGATGAGGGATTGCCAATTAGAGCGATTGCTAAAAGGCTGCATAAAGGGTGGAACACAGTGTCTCAAATTTCGAAGAAAAAGAGAGAAACAGGCAGTGGCATAGATCATCCATGCCCTGGCAGACGCAGAGTTACAACTTTTCCTGAGGATAGGCTTATAGTAATAACAAGTAAACGAAATATACATTTAGCTGCGCCAGAACTCACCCACAGCTTAAAAGAATAAAGGAGAATACTGTGTCCGTGTCTACGGTAAAATACCGCTTACAAAGGGCTAAACTTAGAGGATGTGTAGCAGCATGCAAACCACTCCTGTGACCTATACACAAACGCAACCAGTTAGCATGGGCCCAAGAACATTCGGATTCGACCATTGACGATTGGAATCAAGTCCTTTGGTTGGATGAATCCAAATTTGAGATGTTCGGCTCTCGACGACGACAGTTTGTACGACGCCCAACCTCATGGATGCATGACTCCGCAATGTTAAGCATGGAGCTGAGATTGTAATGGTTTGGGGATGTTTGCTGGAAATCAAACAGGAGATTTGGTTCATATTGAGGGTTACAATGCGAAAAGAGCAGTATTTGGAAATATTGGAAAACCATGCTGTTCCCTCAGGACAAAGGATTGTAGGGTACAATTTCGAAAGTCAGCAAGACAACGACCCTAAACATTCATCTCGACTATGCTGTAATTATTTGGACCAGCAGCAATAACTTGGTGCAATGAAAATCATGATGTGACCTTCCCAGTCTCCAGATTTGTCTCCTGATGAATATTTGTGGAGGAATTGGACAGACAAGTGAAGCAACAAGGAGCCTACTAGTGCTGCAGACTTGTGGTCCAAGCTACAGGAAGCACAGGTATCCTTATCACCAACTATTCTTGAAAAATTGATACGTCGGACGATTCGTGTCTGTAATGCAGTTATTCGGGCTCGTGGTGGACACTTCGATGAATCACGAATTTAAAGTAAATTTTGATAGAATTAAGTTACCAACTGATTACGTTTCAGTGGAAACAAGTTTCTTTTTAATTTTTTTTTTATTAAACACACTCTATGGTTTGATTTGGTTTGATTTCCCTCAAAAATGTACTGTCCCAAAACTTTTGAGCGGTAGTGTATATGTATTAACACCAAACAATGAAATAAAAAGTCACTAGGAGGACGAAAAATTCATATATTGTCATTTGTATCCTCTTTTTATTTAAAATGACATCTTTAAATCGTATTTCTAGTATAGAAAAAAGCTCCAAAGACTCCCTTCCCTGATTTTCAACAAAAGTTTTGATGTGCTTGCTCAGGGTAATAGCTTTATCATAATTTGGAATAGAATATTGTTGGTACTGGAATTCATCGACATCAGAATCTTTAGAAAGTTTTTGTATTTCATCTGGATTTCTCAATTTCTTGGCCTGAGTCTGGGTCTTCAGCATACAACTTTTATCGAGGTTAAAAAATCAAAGGTTTTCATTATCAGTCAATTTCAATAAATTCTTATTTTGAGGATATCTGAAAGTACATTAAGAGGTGAATCATCTTCTGAGTCATCCTCATTTAACTGGTCTTCTCATATTTTCATGCTTAAATCCTGCTTTGTGGAAGCAATTTTAACTATTTATTCATTCGTTCATGTCCAATTTTATAATTTTATTTAATTTAAATTAATAAGATAACTAAATTTACTTAGAATTTTAATAAGAAATGTTTAAAATTAATGTCCAGATAAATAAAATTTAACACAACCAAATTATTAAGAATAAAGTACAACGTAATCAGAAATAACATATATAAAAGGTTAGGTAACATTTTTTAAGTTTGTTTGAATGACTTCTGCCTCTTAAGGTCCTAGGAGGCACATTAAAATCTATCATGCCGAAGAGTTCGGGCCTATTTATTAGTACAGTAATAATTTTGTGACACAAAAGAGTGTCAAAATTGTCTCTAAGCTTGACCATACTATTGAGTTTTAGGTCAGATTCCATATCCCTATAGTTTATGTAGTCATTGGGGATGTTTATTTTAAAAGCTATATATTTAGTAAATTTTCTCTGAATAGAATTCAATGTGGACTTGATAGTAGGGGTTCCAGACACTAGAAGACGCTAGATTCTAAATGAGATCTGACAAGAGATGTATATAGTAGTTTTATAGAAAAAATGTCTGTGACCTCTCTAGTATTCCTCTGTATGAAACCCACATCCTCAAAGCCTTCCTGAATCAACTCTATAATCTGTAACTTTGAATCCCTGATCCCTAATCAGCCTAACATTTTTAAAGATAGCCCTATCACAGAATAAGTATTTTCTGATACGGTTAAAGATTTGGAGAACTGCATACACATACATTTATCCATATTAACATACAGCTTATTACTCTCACACCAATTTTGCTCTTGTTTCTTTGGTTACTTGGTCCCAAGCAGTTTTTGGCAAATAAACTGAATCCAGTCAAGTGCTTGATAAGCTGATGTACAATTAGGGAGCAAAAATAAATACATGGTGTCCAATAAGTACCACGACAAACTTAAGGAGAAGATAGGCTTTGGACGACCTCCCAAATAACAAAAAACTTACCTATATAAAAGTGTTACCGTTTTTGAGGTTATACATTTTTTCTTATATTTAAAAAAAACGAACTTTTCATCTGTGGTCTTTAGCTGCATGTACAAATAAGGTTATACTTTGTTCATTTTTTCTATAAAATACTTCTAGATAGTTGCTTTATTATATACAAATGCAATGTAGTTGAAAGATATTAAGGAACCGTGATAAAATAAGGACTGTTTTGGGACTTATAACCTTCTGATGTTGTTTCCTCAGCTTTGACCATCTGTGATGAAACAAAAATGTACTGGGCTATAACTGCATTTATTGAATAAAAGATTGGTCATTGAATACAGATTTCAGAACGGCCCCACACGTACTATTGTTAATTGTTAATGTTGCATATGTCTCTCAGTGAATATCCCTTAATCAAAGAAGGATTTTTTTCAAAAATGATGACTCATCTTCAGCCTTAACTGACGCTCCTTCTCTCGCTTTAAAACCCATATTATGCCGAATTCTAAATTTATTGAGCCAACCGGAAGAATCACTGATTGTAGGATACCCTAAAGAATCGGCTATTTCTTTTGGTTTGCATCTTATTAGCGGACCTAAAAAAAATTGTTTTGCGTTTTTGTCACGACAAACCTATTGATAATCTTACTTTTTATCTATTTTAGAATTGATATGCAAACAAAATCGACGCATTAATACAAAAAACTTTGTCTAAAAAAATAATATGCATACATACCTGTCAAAGGAATCCCCTTGTGACGAGTTCTGTAAACCATTTTTTACCATCACCCGTCAAAAAGCTTATTTTTCATTCAAATTGCTGTTCAACATCCAGTTCTTTAGAAGGATTTATGTTTAATTACATACAGGGTGTAAAGTTAGTAGTGGATCAACGGAAGTTTGGTGATAGAGGGGCTCAAAACCTATCGAATGAACCCCTTATATGTGTGGCTTGAAATTTTATAGTTCAGGAGATATTTGCAATTTCGTGAAATTTCGAAAAAACGGGATATTGAACTTTCAATCGCAATTACAACTAAACCATTAGGTTTAGGGCTGTTATTTTTTCTTCTGAAATAAGCTAAATGATTAGTTTTAGCAATGGTTATGTCACTTTTTAACAGAGCTTATTAGAAATCAACGCAAATTGTTAAAAATCTCTTCCATGCCTCAACTTTGGAGGGCGGTAAAAAAATTGAGGTTGTATTTCATTATTAATTTTATTGTAAAAACTATTTCAATCCATGTAGAATAAACCCTGGAAATTTCAGCTTGCTATGATGAGTGTATCATGTCACATTCGTTGTTGTGATGCGATAAACGTAAGAAATGCAACAGAATCCTTACCACCTACAAGTACAGAACCTATTGTGTTTAGCCGCTCTTTATGGCGATTTATCGGCAAGTGTGGAAGATAAGTTGGTTTAACTAAATGGCCTTCATTATTTTCTATACACAAGCGACACCTTCTAATAAAATTGTCCTTTAGTCTTTGAAATGAATTTGCGTTTTCTATAATTTTATTTTTTCATCCATTTTCTGGCGCAGTTGGTTGACATTTGTATATTCAGATGTACAGATTGTCACCTTATAAAACCTCCATATAATAAAATCTAGATGATTTAAATCAGGTGACCTTGGAGGTCATCGTATGTGTCCACTTCTACCTATCCAACTCCCAGGAAAGGCACTGTCTAAGTAATGCCGTACATCCCGTGCAAAGTGGCATGGGGCACCATCTCATGGAAAATAGATGCGGCTTCGAACGTCCAAAGGTAGATCCTCTAGCAGCTCATGCAAACTGCTTTGTAGAAAAGCAAGATATGACTGACCATTCAACCTGGCGGGCAATTCATATGGTCCAATTAATGTTTTGCTGAGTACACCAGCCCATACATTAACGAGGAACTTACATTGAAAGCTGTTTCGGCGAATAGCGTGTGGATTTTCCACGCTCCATCAATGGAAATTGTGCGTGTTGAATATTCCATTTCGGTTAAAGTTGGATTCATCTGTCCATAAGATGCTGTCGAAAAAGTTTCATCTTCTCGCACCTTCTCAACATATTCTCTCAAAATTGTGGATAGTCGCTTGGAAGCAATACTTGTACTTTTTGTACATGGTAAGGATACATGTTGTCTGAGCGTAGTATTGTGCGCACACTGAAGTATGGGATATGTTTCTGCTTCGGGCAATGGCTCTTTTGCTTATACAGGAATCTCTCTCGGCTGCTTCTATTATAGCTTCCATGTCTTCTGGCGTATCCTCGGCGCTCCTAGCTGACGATGAGTGCCTAGTATGCGGCCCTCCATATACGCATTATGGACGCGTAGAAAAACTCGGTAGTAGGGATATACCGCCGGTTGTGGTCCACCTCTTCTAACCACATACTCCCGATATATGCGAGCAGCTGCTCGAGCATTTCCTAGGGCAGCACCGTAATAGAATATTACATGATGCTACTAAGATGCCAAACGTTAGATACAAATTCCGCGCTGGACCATTGCCTGACTTAGTAATTTCGGCCGGAACGAAGATTGAAGGCACCTGGAATGCCGAGTTGAATGCCCAAGTTCATTAAGCTGATTTGGCTATTTGCGTAAAAAATCCGCCATTCTGATTTTACAAATGTTAATACACACAGTATCACTCGTAGTGCTAGGTCAAATCTAACAGTACCTCATATGTCAAAATCCATCAAGTCGTTTGGAGTGTAGCTCGTAAAATAGAATTTCTTGTTTACATGTATAGATACAAGAGGCACTATCGTAGCAACATGAAATTTTCAGGGTTGGATTGAAATAGTTTTTTACAATAAAACGAATAATGAAATAGACCCACCATTTTTTTACCGCCCTCCAAAGTTGAGGGATGGAAGAGATTTTTCACAAAAAAATGAATTTAAGATTGTTGTGTTGATTTCTAATCAGCTCTGTTGAAAAGTGACATAACCATTGCTAAAACTAACCATTTAGCTTATCTCAAAAAAAAAAACAGCTCTAAACCTAATGGTTGCGTGAGAAGTTCAGAGTCAACCTACTTGACGCCATTTTTTTTATTGTGTCATGCTTATAGTCCGCAAAATGTCTTCGCAGCTGCACAGAAACATAATTCGATCCAGTTTCTTCGCTTGATCTTATCAAAGAAGGGTCTAGGAAAAACCGACTTCTTGTGGCGTCTTCTGTCTCCATAACAGAGAATCACTTCAATAAATCATCAACTTTTGTTAAATACGAATTCACTCATTCAGTCTTATGAAGTAGCAGCAGTGACCCTCGTGATTTTTTTAAGTTATGGTGCTTTTTTTTCAGAAATGGACTTCAACAAAGCAATAGAACTCTACACTTTAGCAATAGAGAAAAATCCAAATGTAGCTATATACTATGCAAATCGGAGTTTTGCATACCTAAAGACAGAATGTTTTGGCTATGCCCTGACGGATGCATCTAAAGCAGTAGAACTCGACAAAACCTATGTAAAGGGATACTACAGGAGAGCGGCAGCATATATGTCCTTAGGAAAGTTTAAGGAGGCACTGAAAAATTATGAATATGTACGTATAAGAAAAATTACTAATACACTGCATTAAAAATACTGGGTTACGTTCAGTTGCTCTGGGCTAAGAGTAAGCTCTTTTTCTAAATTACTGGAATATGGATTTTTGGGGAAAACAAGCTAATCAACGAGCGACAGCATGGTTTTCAGGCTAGTAAATCCACAAACTCTGCTATCCATACATTTCATGATGAAGTTGTTCACTTCGTCAAGGCAAGGGAGAGCTCTGTTGCGGTCTTCTGTGACTTCAGCAGCACTTTCGACTGTATCGAACATGATACTCTTCTAAATAGGCTAGCACTTTATGGCATAAAAAACAGCAATTAGATTAGTTGCGGACCTCCCTCACAAACAGAAAGCAGTATGTAGCTATACACCATTTAGGCCCGTATCATCAGTCGTCCCTACAATTGCAGGGCGCCTTTATGGCCTCCTTGTCACAGTTTTCTACTTCTCCGTGTCAGAACTCTATTTTGAGGTTATGTCACAAACATCTATTTGCATCAAATTGTGCTTGCTTTTGAGTTATACCATGTTTTATCAGCCTGAAATTTCCTACAGTTTAAAAAAAACATATCTTCACAATAGTAGAGCGCTGACGCTGACACGGGACAAGTGTAATCTAGAAATTTTTGAAGGAGAGAAGATTATGACAATAAAGGAGGCCATAAACGCGCCCTACAATTGTAGGGACGACTGACGACGTATCGTCTTAAAGGCCTTAAACTCTGGTGGTACTATGGTTCAAGTTAATTCTGGGATTGAAGAATGTTTGATGAGTGTCCCACAGGGGACTGTTCTAGGCCCTATTTTATTTTTGCTTTATGTATACGAGTTACTTAATGTTGTACCTGGTGTATTGATAACTCCATTCGCACATGATACCTCAATTGTAGCTTCTGGTTTTTCAGAGGAACAATTACAAGATAACATGGAAGTTTCATTGTCTAGACTGCATAACTGGTTTTCAAATTATAATTTATATTTAAATCTAAACAAGACACAATGTATTAGATTTCACACAAGGCAACAAAAAATTGCAACGAACTCAGTTTCAAATTAAATAATATTAATAACAATAATATGTAATTATAATGATGTAATGTTTTGTTAGAATTGAGATACGAATATCCTCTAATTTTTTTCCATTTGACTCATAACTTAAAAAATAAATATTGCGATCGGGGAACGACGTTCGGTCAACTTATATATATTTCTTAGTTATGTATCATTAAAAGAACATTATTTACTAAATTTTTTTTTCAAAGTTTTCTTTTTACATTTAGGATACGCAACATAATAAAAATAGTTTTTGTTCCTCATCAGCAGTGATTAAGCCATGGAAGTCTTGCATCAACTTGACGGCTCTTTCTGCCGTATTCATTACCTGCTCTCAGTGTTTGCACCGTATTCTTAGCGTGTTGAAAAGAATCATTATGTGGCCATGAAGTTGTACACTCGTCTTCAGTTTTGAGTTGACTGATAAGGACTTGCTTTTGATTGAAACAAAGTCATCGGTATTTTTCTCTGAAACGAAAAAACGGATAGCTACCATCTAAACATACTGATTTGTCCGTCCGACCAGAGACAGTCGACCATGAACAGATGTTTTGTGGTTTTTGGCAACTCATCAGCATCGTCTAGGCTTGGCTTCAGGTCAGGATTACGAACGCAAACATAGCAACTAACCTCTATCTGAGATATAATATCTATGGAAACAAGACAGTATAAGATGCCATCTATTACCAGAATCGCAGTTTATGCTGGATTATTTTAACAGTTAGCACATTATGTTGAAGCAGTAAAAGAAGACAACGGAAAATTTATTCGTCAGACTTACCATAAAATGGACCAGAAAGTTATTCTTTCGATGGGATGTAGCGTTTACTGTCGACTGATTTGGCTAAATTTGCAACAATTTTTACTTTAGTTTCCTCACCTACGTCATCGCCAAACAGAGATCAGACAGAGACCTTATCTGTCAAATACCATAAATGTTGGCAGAACTTTTGTAAAGCTGCTTTTGAAATGGTTTTGTCAGTTCTTTCGTAAGCCTTCATTGCCTTTAGAAAGCATAAATCCTGGTTAGGTGCTTTACCGCTAAAGTGCATTGCAACCACTGTTTCACGTATGTTGTCACGATGAATAGGCATATATCTAAAAGAGCTGCCTGATCATTATTAGAAAGTTTGAGCTGGAAACTGAGGCTATTTTTGATTGATATCTCTGCCAAGGAATATCATTGAAAGTTCTATTAATTCTCAAGGGTCATCTCTAGCAACTTCTGTGGTCAATTCATGTCGATACATTTCTAGCAGCTTGTCAGTATTTGACAGATTTAGGCATGATGGCCTTTAAGTATAAATATGTATTTTCTCGGGATCCACACTTTTCCAGCTCTTGCGAAACTGTTTAAACATTGTAATGTCAAAGCTTGTAGTGGCATTTTTTTATTAAGTTTCTGTTCGAGGAGCACGCAAGCACCGTTAACGTAGTATCACAACAGAGAATCTGAACTTTATCTCAAAGATTCCAGTCAATAATAGCATCCCAAACTGCCTGAGCCTGCTCGTTGACTTGTGTGCATTTAAAGGTGGCAACAGTTTACCATTTGTTACAATATCCGGTACCTCGCTTTGGAAATCAAGGTTTATAGCTTCTGCGCGCCCCTTTCGCTATTCGGTACGAATTCTGTGAATGGAGGACTTGCTTATAGGGGACTCGTTAGTGTAATGTCCAAGTGCCTCACTGGTTGATAAAATAATAAAAACAGCATTTCTCATACTTAAGTGACACCTACGAGGGTGATCCCAGAAGTACCCGACCAACGAAGCAAACACAAAAATTTTGTAAAAAAATGTATTTATTTTTCAACATAATCTCCTTTGAGCTCTATACACTTTTCCCAGCGATGTTCAATAAGTTCGATACTCTTTTTATAATAAGAACTGTCTTGCTCCTCAAAATAGCCATTAACTGCCGACATCACTTCTTCATTGTTGGAAAATCTTTGACCACTGAGCCATTTTTTCAAGTTTGGAAACAGAAAATAATCGGAGGGGGCTAAATCTGGTGAATAGGGTGCATGAGGTAGCAATTCAAAATTTAATTCGTTAATTTTGGCCATTGCAATAACGGATTTGTGAGCTGGTAGTCTTAACTATACTAAGTGACATATAAATCCGAACACCCAGTTTAAATGGTTTTATTTTAATAAAATTTTGTATAAGTACTTAATGAAGCATAATAAGTAAATGATAAAAATTTCAAAATGATTGCACTGCTTTAAAGCCCTTTCACCTTTAATAATGTGTGGATGCACCCTGATGTGCTACGCTTTCTCCAACGCGCCTAGGCATGCTTCTGATCAGGTGGTCAATGTCCTCCTGTGGTATCTCATTCCAGGCAACCACCAACTCCTCTCGAAGTGCTTCTAGAGTCTAAGGAGGACGTTGCAAATTGAGCAATCTCCTACCCATCATATCCCACACGTGCTCATTTGGGGATAAGTCGGGAGATCTTGGTGGCCATGGTAACAATGTGGCATCATTATGTTGAAAGAAGTCTATTGTGACTCTTGCAACATGTGGTCTGGCATTATCTTGTTGGAAAGTTGGATCTACCAGGGTGTCAAGATAGGGTAAAGATGGGGTTCTAGAACTTCGTGGATATAACGCTGCGCGTTCATGTTACCTCTGATGAAGATTAAAGGTGACCTGGAACCATAAGCTATAGCACCCCAAACCATAACTCCAACAGTGTGATGATCATGTCTTTCAACAAAAAACTGCGGATTCCTCCTTTCACCACGTCGCCTTCTAACCCTGGCACGACCATCGTGCATGCCTAAACAAAATCGAGACTCGTCACTAAAGACAATACTGTTCCATTCCTGATCCCAGAGTGACCGTTGCGTTGTCTGCACCACTCAAGGCGATTACGTCGGTGTTCTCAAGTTAAAGGGAGGACCCAGTGTGGCCGGTATGAAAACAAGCCAAAACTTCTCATTCGTCGGTAAACACTTCGCATGCCAATAGCTCTTCCGTGTTCTGCAAACCATTCATTTGCAATGGACCTGGTAGTGGAGAAACGGTCCCTTAAAAAGCAGTATAAAAACCGGAATGTCCAACTGATAAGGCTGAACATTTTTTCACTTGTTATTTACAGTAAGATAAATACATTCACCAACTTTTATTAAATAAAACCATTTAAAATGGGTGTTCGGATTTATATGTCACTTAGTATGAATAAGTTCGCATAATAATCGCCGTTAATAGTTTTACCTTTTTCAAGTGAGTCAACGAAAATTATCCCTCGCGCATCCCAAAAAACCGACGCCATAACCTTGCCTGCAGATGAAACGGTCTTCGCCTTCTTTGGAGCCGGCTCTCCCTTTTGAGTCCATTGTTTTGATTGTTCTTTTGTCTTGGGTGTGAAGTGATGGACCCATGTTTCATCCATGGTTATGAAACGACGCAAACATTCTGCTTTGTTGATGTGAAACTTCGCTAAACACTCAACTGAAACATCTTCACGACAGTGTTTTTGCTCGATTGTGACCAATCGCGGCACCCATCTTGCGCACAGATTTCTTATGTCCAAATTTTCAGATAATATGCGATGAACCGCACTTTTTGAAATGCCTACTATGTCTGCTAGCTCGCGCACTTTCAGTCGACGATCATTCAGTACCGCTTTGTGAATTTTCTTCACCATTTCTGGAGTCGTCACCTCATTTGGTCGACCACTGCGATGCTCGTCTTGGCAGCTCATACGGCCTCGTTTAAACTCTGCTAGCCAATATCTTACTGTTGTAAACGAAGGAGCAGACTCACCCAGAGTAGAATCCAGTTCAGCTTTTATATTGGTTGGGCTGAGGCCTTTGAAATAAAAGTATTGTACCACATAACGATGACCAATTTTCCCCATTTTCACAAATTCACTGAAACGTTCAGTATTGATGGCTGCCAAACAAATACTAAACAACGTGGCATCTTCAACTTGACACATATGCTTTATAGGTTGCATACTTTCTAATACAATGATATTTTTCAAACAACTATCGCCATCTCTAGGTCAGGGCAGGTACTTCTGGGACCACTCGTATTTAATGCTGCCACTAATTTTGGAGTTCTGAAACTTTTCCTCATTTGAGTTTGAGTAGTATCATGTTGTGTGCTCTGAGCTGGGATGGGAAAAGTTTCCTGTTAATCTATCTCGGAATCTGAATATGAATTTTCTTGCACTGGTTTGTAAGATGATGTCGAAGCAGTTAAGAAAGTAACATATTTAGCTCGCCGTTTTTTTTTTCTTTGGTGTTCCTAAGACGCGTCTCTTCTTCTTTTATGGCTAATTTCTTAACCACCCCAGCTAAACGACCAGGTCAACCTGGCTCTCTCTGCCGCTGCAAGAAGATCCTTTCTTCATTTATTTTCATCAATTGAAGGGCATCGGCATGCGCAATACCAAACAGATTGTCCAAGTTCGTAATAAATTCTTGTCGACGTTGCTCAAACACTCCTGATGTATATCGTGACTGTAAAAAGAAAACATTGAGAAGGAATAATTTTTTTCAATGATAAATATCTAAGAAATATAAGATACAAATAAAGCAATGTTTTATTATTATTATTTTAGGCCTGCGTGATATCTTTAATATAAAAAACAATAGATAGCACTAATCAACTAAATACATAATCTACTGTAGCTAATTTTTGTCCTTTTTTGTCATTTGCATTCTACAGTTTCAACTTAAATTATTGGTCCATGTACAGGCGATGCCTTCTATTGGGCCTGTTTTGATTTTATATTTTTTTACTCATATTGTTTGTTATCTTTGTACATTGAGTAAATAAATATTATTATTATTATTATTATTAATATGTAGCTTTTTCCAGGTAACTAAAGTTAGACCAAATGATAAAGATGCTAGAGCGAAATATACAGAATGTAATAAAGTAGTGAAAAAAATAGCTTTTGAGAAAGCTATATCCGTAGAAGACAATAAACGAAACATAGCAGACAGTATTAATTTAGAAGCTATGAGTAAGTTATTATAATTGGCGGATTACAATGCTGTAAATCTCTAATGACTAAATTTTGCAGCAATTGAAAATGAATATACGGGCCCTGAGCTTGAAGATGGGAAAGTTACACTCAAATTCATGAAGGAATTGATGGAACTGTACAAGAATCAGGGCAAGCTGCATCGAAAGTATGCTTATAAAGTAAGTATTTATACATCAGATATTAATAAGTTACGTACTCGTAGAGCATGCATTGTTACACGCAACATTACATACAAGTACAAGTTTAGCGTTTGATACTAACAGTGGCTTGTTGCCGTCATCCCAGTTATTTATGAAACGAATGTACAAGGTGTTTTCATAGTTGAGTCATTTATTTTAACAGCAACATTATCAAGTTAATTGGATACCGTTTTTACAAAAACTGTTCAAAATTGTCCCTAATTGTTGGATTAACACAAAATCTTGCTCGGCGAATCAACGACTCTACAAGCTTCGAAAATACAATCCTGGTGTCCACGAATTAAATCACAAGCATTATCAGTGCACTGTTGAAATATTTACTGCTCCATCATGATACACCAACTCTTTCAAACAGCCCCACACAAAACATTGCAAGGCGTTAAATCCGGGAACGCAACCAGGCTAAAAAATGGGTGTATTGCGCCCTATCCATCTATTCGGAAACTCATTATTTAGATGTTCATGAACTTCTGGTCTAAAATGTGGTGGAGCCCCATCATGTAGGAACTACATTTTCTGTATCACATTTAGAGGAACATCTTCTAATAATTGTGGCAGATTGTGTCGAAGAATTTCACCGGTCAGTTGAGGTGGAAAACAGTAGGGTCCAATAAGCATGTCATTTACCCCGCCAGCAAAAAAATTTAATGAAAATCTAGGTTGAAAAGTTCCTTTTACAGCTTGCGGATTTTCTACTGCCCAAACATGATTGTTGTGGAAATTGAGTACTCCATTTCGTGTAAATTTGGCCTAGTCTTTGACCATTTCTAAAATGTTTTCCACAATTTGTAATATTTCAGGTTGAGCAGGTCTTCTTTTAAATATCCTGTCACGAAGTCTAATAACTATATTATTTATACAGGGTGTTCCTGAATGATATGCGAATATTTAAGAGTGTAAATCTACATGAAAAATTAATGTTAGTTTGCTTTCTAAACTATGGTCCGAAAATGGAAATTAATTCATATTTTCAGAACCGCTTCAGATATTTCACTGATATTTAGTACGTAGTGAAAGTTAATAAATTTGCATATTTTTCAACGCAAAAATAATTTTTAGCATTAACAGTGGCGTGCGTATTTTTTAAGAAAAAATTAGTACGCCAAGAGTTTTTTGCGAAATAAAAATTATTTTTGATTTCCCCGTTCAATTTAAAACAAATGATCTCTCTTGAATTGTTTCCTCCGTCGATGCGCCATTTTTGAGTAAAAAATAAAACCGTTCTATTGTCTACCTTGCAAAATTATTATTAATTTAATTGGAAAAATTAAACACATTAGGGGTAATGACCCACAACAACTGACAACATAAACATAACATTAAAACCAACGAAATGATTACAAAAATTGTTGAAAATGGCCCCATTCACTTAGTATGCATGCTTCCGCCCTCCTTCTCATGGAATTGCGCACTCATTGAAATATCCCTGGAGTGTTTTTTATTCTATCACAAGCTGCAACTATTCTTTCTCTTAATTCCTCTACAGTGTTAATGGGACTTGTGTACACTAGTGTCTTAAGATATCCCCACAAAAGAATCTAAACTGTTGAGGTCTGGGGCCATTCTTGGAGCCTACCGCGGCCAATCCAACGATTTGGATAAACAGTTTGTAAATAATTACGAACCGTTACACTGAAATGAGCTGGTGCACCATCATGCATGTACCACATATTGTTTCTTATTACTACAGGAACATCTTCAAGCAGCAAAGGTAACTGTTGTTGAAGAAAATTGAATAAGTCTGTCCGTCAAGTCGTCCCGGCAACAAGAATGGGCCAATAAAGTGGTTGCCAATAATTGCGGCCCATACGTTAACCGAAAATTGGTGTTGGAAATGGGTTTCGATTACGGCATAGGGATTTTCTTCTGCCCACAAATGATTATTGTGGAAATTCTGAATGGCATTTCGAGAAAAATTAGCTTCGTCCGTGAACAGAATCATTGATTCAAATTGCTGATTTTGTGTAATTTTTTGAAGATATCACTGACAAAAGGTCATACGCCTTGGAAAATCAATGGGAAGTAGTTCCTGTACTATGGTAAGGATATAAAAAAAATTCACTAAAATTCTCCAAACAATTTGATTAAGTGTCTAGCGATCTTCCTCGTACTCGGTTCAGGCTGTTCTTCGACTTTGTGCAGCATTGCTTCATCAATTTCAGGTGTTCTCACACTTAGAGGTCTACCTTCAGATGTTCCTTTTCGTACAGAACCAGTTTCAACAAGACGACGATGAATATTAGAAAAGGTTCGGCTATCTGGCAAAGCACGCTCGGGATATCTCTGGTGATAAATCCGTCTGCCTTACTCACCATTACCGTCGGCAAGGCCATATTTCTGCCATTTCTGCATTTGAATAATTCACCATTATTAACAAGATTGTAAAAACTAAATAATGAAAAAGATGTCACAGCGAACAGATTTGAATAACAGAGACTTGTCAAATGTCAAAAGCCAGTGACATATTCCAGAGCAACTAGATATTTATTGCTAAATTGCATTCTTCAATTATTGAATTAATTTTCTCGGACAATAGAACGGTTTTTATTTTTTTACTCAAAAATGGCGCATCGAAGAAAAATAATTCAAGAGAGATCATTTGTTTCAAATTGAACGACGGATTCAAAAATAATGCTTATTTGGCAGAAAACCACTACAATAACAAAATATTGAAGTTAATACCCGTACGCACGCCACTGTTAAAGCTAAAAATTATTTTTGCATTGAAAAATATGCAGCTTTATTAACTTTCGCTACATACTAAATATCAGTGAAATATCTGAAGGAGTTCTGAAAATATTAATTAATTTCCATTTTTTTTCTAAAACTTCAACACCCCGAGTTTTTGTAACCAAAAGTTTTTGGACCATAGTTTATAAAGCAAACTAACATTATTTTTTCATGTTGATTCACACCCTTAAATATTCTCATATCATTAAGGAACACCCTGTATATACATATATAGATATATTTACAATTATCCGTGGAGTTGGATGTTCTTAAACGAAACCTTTCCGCTTACAACCTGCATGCTGCTGCTGCCTGTTGTTGGCACTCCCCATATGTTAGTATTATAACCACTAGTTCATTGATTTCCTAAACATGGACCATTTTTCGCACAAAATAATCAGACAAATGAAAGTGTGCGCCCTATTAAAATACTGAAAACCATACAATAACACAAAAAGTTTGCCAAATTTAGATAAACGATAAACCTAACCTAAAACGGTTCCCTGTAGGACGCCACATTTGATACCTTTATCAGTTTAACAGCAGTCTTTATTTTTGATTCTGGATTAAATGTTGCGAAGCTAGTCTGCTGCTACTGCTATCCAGCACAAAAGTTCTACATTCGGGTAAAACAAAAAAACTCTAAGATTTTACACGGTAGTGGTCGAGAATATCAAAAATCTTTGTAATAAAATTCTTATTTTTTAAAATTCTTAATGTTTTATTATTTCTTTTATTATGCAACTTTTATACAGGGTGTTTCAGTCTATTGTTGCATAACTTTAACATTCGATAGAACTTTTAAAATTAATGCATAAAGTCTATACGTTATAAACATGGGTCGAAAAATGCGTGGCTTCCGCTAGAGGGCGCTCTCTACTGTACCTGTAGTGTATTAAAATGACCGAAAATTTTTTCTTAGTGCAATTTTTTGCTTTTTGAATAAAAAAATGATTCTTCGCACTTTTCAACATAAAAAAGCTCTCTTGTGAATTTTCGTTATAGTTAGCCGTTTTTGAGATATTTCGATTTTTAAGGTTCGATGCATTTTTAATTATTTATGATAAAATAACGTTAAAAGGTCAGTATCTCGATAATTTTTAGAAGTAGGCTGTTCCTGCAAATATTTTTGAAATTGAAAGCAGAATAAGGTTAAACGTCAATTAGTTGACAGTTAGTTTTGTTGTCTGTTGAAACCTGAAACGTTTTTTTGCAATTGTGAATGCACGAAATTTAGTTTCTTTTACCTGTTTTTTTGTAAGTTTTATAAAAATGCCATTTTTATTCTCCAATCAAGAGTTAGCGGATATTCATTTTGTGTATGGCTTTGTAAATGGAAACGCAGGCAGAAGCAGCCAGAGAATACGCACGAAGATTTCCAAACAGACGACATCCAACTCGCTCAGTATTGTAAGAGTGCATCGCCAATAATTGAAAATGGTATTGGAAATCTCCAAAGGGATCAAAACATAAATGTTCGTCAGCGCAGATTTACCCGTATGATTCTGGTGAGTTTGATAGAGACCACAAGTGTTAGGAGAGTTTCTGGTGCCTTGGGAATTTCAGCAAGCCAGTTCACCTGTTCTTAGAAATGACCATAGTCGTCCTTACCATTTGCAACCTGTGCAGGACTACAGCCAGGGGACGGAGAACGAAGAATCACATTTTGTGAGTGGATTCTTGATAGAAGATAATAATAGGGAGTTTTTAAGTAACGTTTTATGGACCGATGAGTCATGCTTCACTAGACGTGGAGTGGTAAATTTTCATAATCAACATATTTGGTCGCATGAAAATCCGCATGCAGTTCGGGAAAGAAATTTTCAGCATGAATTTCGTGTGAACGTGTGGATTGGTGTATCTACCGTAATCGACTATTTGGACCCTACCTTTTGCCTGCAAGGTTAAATGCTGTGACCTTCTTGGAATTTTTAAAGGCTGAACATGCAATAAGTGGGATGATGTTATCTTAGATTTAAGAAGATTGGCCTGGTTCCAGCTTGATGGTTGTTCAGCTCATTATTCGAGAATAGTTAGAAACTGGCTGGACGAAAATTATCCAGAAAGATGGATCGGCCGTGGAGGACCAGTCGCCTGGCCTCCACGATCCCCTGACCTAAATCCATTAGATTTCTTTGTGTGGGGATTTCTAAAAGAAAAAGTGTACCAGGCTCCCGTAACCACAAGAGATATGCTAATAGACAGAATCAGGAATGCATGTGATGAAATAAGGCCTTATTTGAATAATCCTATACCACGTTCGATCATTCGTAGATGTGAATTGTGTATTGAACAATTGGGTTTACATTTCGAGCAACTACTTT